GGGGGGGGGCGACGGAATGTACTTAATCCACATCGGAGGCCGGTGTTGAGACGTTGGTGGTCGTCGTTCGTACCTTCATTGACCGTAACTGTCGTCCAAGCCTGGCAGTCTTGTTAACGCCCCCACGACTGTCCGTTTTCTCGTCCGCCGGACTAGTAGATGGACCGGCTGTGGTGAGCACTGCCCCTTCGTCGGAACCCGGTTGAGGGGTGGCTGAGTGTGTATCCGCCATAGACTTGCTCATGTCTGGCATCATGTTTAGTCTGGGTGCACGTCTGCTCATTTGTTTACTGAGCTGCGCTCGAAGGGCTTGATAGGCGGCGGGAAGAGCCACACAGCGGTTGATGGAGGTTGTCCCCGTGTGCCAAACCTCGATTGTTTCCCTGGCTATGTGATCGTTTCCCCGGCCCAGAATTTCGGCATGCTGAAAGGCGAACTTGTGCCCGGCATCGGCGCAGTGTACGGCCACCAGAGACAAAGGGTCCATTCGCCTTACTGCCCTCATGTGTTCTCCAACACGGGTCTGTAGCCGTTTTTCGATCTCCCCAATGAAGTTGGCTTCGCAGGAGTTAAACCTGATCCGGTAGATGACGTTCGTGGTTTCACCTAGTGGCAGAGGGGCCTTAGGTCTCATGACCAGATGTCGAATTGTTGACTCCGGTCAATGGGCGATGCCGATCCCCAGCGGTCTTAAGAGACGCGAGACGGCCTCAGAAACGCCGTCGATGTATGGAAGCGCTTTATGTGTAGACAGCATTTGAATACCTGTCCTCGTCTGCACAAAATTACCATTTTATCACATTTCTTAAATTGTATACGCAAGGAGATATTTAATTTTTCAGTTTAAACATGCTTTGTATTGTATTGTATTGTATTTTAGGGTAATAGGCAATGCCCTTGATGACCCTATTGAAAACGGTACATAAAATATAAATGTTAAATGTACATCTTACAAAAATTTTGTCAGTAACATATGTGTTCACGGGAAACTTTCACAATGCGGGACTGCTAAGGGTGCGGCAGGCGGTCTTCTCAGTGTACACATGAAATTTTAAGTGCAGTTATATACAATCAGCATAAAGTGCAGTCATTTGCATAGTTTGAGAGGGGGCATCTCATTAAGAGTCAGGGGTGTGTTAAGTAGGGAAGAAATCAAGATATGAAATTTATGGCTGGCCGCAGGTAGTCCTGTTGTGAAAGTCGTCGTTTATCAAATATCAAACGATCCGGCTGCCTTTTGAATACAGCGATTGTATCAGATGTCACTAATTCACTTCGGAGTGAGTTCCATAGCCGAACAACACGCTGGCTGAAGGAAAACTTCCGATTGTCTAGGCGTGTACGCTCCCGCTTGACTTTGTAAGGCTGA